GGTTCTCAACCTGTGGGTCATGACCCCTTTGGGGGCTGAACGACCTTTCCGAGGGGTCGCCCGATTCATAACAGTAGCAATGAAAATAATTTTGTAGTGATGAAGTAGCAATGAAAATAATTTTGTGGTTGGGAGTCACCACCACACGAGGAACTGTATGAAAGGGTCTGGCCTTAGGCAGGTGGAGAACCACTGCCTTAGAATGTCCTGGGTTTGTTCATCCTTTCCTTCCAGGGAATGAATTTCCACAGCTTTTCATTAATGTTCAACAGTGTCTGATTGCTTAAACTCACTGCCATTGAGTTGATTCCAACTCACAGTGACCCTATAGGACAGTGTAGAACCGCTCCCTTAGTCTTTTTGGGAGTAGAAAACCTCATTTTTCTCCCTGGGAGTGGCTGGTTGGTTTGAGTCCCCCACCTTGTGGTTAGCAGCTTCCCATGGACCCCACCATGCCACCAGAGATCCTTGTTTGCTAAAATGTCCTTTTATTTAGCTAAAAATTCTGCTGATATATATTTTTATTTTTAAATTTATTTGTACTTTTTGTGAAAGTATAATATACCAGCAAAAATGTACACATATCCTAAATGTGGAGCTCAAATAATTTTCACAAACTGAACCCAGCACCCCGCTCAAGAAACCGATTGGTTGCAGTCCTCCAGAAGTTTCTTCACCCATCATTTTAGGAAGCCACTCTCTCAACCACTAACACCTCAGAGACGGATTGCCGACTCTTGTACTTCATAGAAAGGAACCCACCCTGAAGGTTATTGTGTACCTGGCTCTTTTAGTTCAACACTTGTGAGAATCACACAAGTAGTTTATGTATTTGTAGAATGATCATTATCATTGCTATCTAGTGTTTGTCTTGGATCTACAATCTATCCAGTATTTTGTTTGGATCCACCATCAATGCCCATGGAAGCTGCAGTCAAGAGATCAAAGATGCATTGGGTCAATCTGCTGCATGAGCTCTTTCTAAAGTGTTGAAAAGCAAGGATATTACTTTGAAGACTACAGTGCACCTGACTCAAGCCTGGGTATTTTCCATCATTTGAATTACGGTGCTGATGAAGAATATTGAAAGTACCAAGGACTGCCAAAAGCACAAACTCATCTTCCTGGGAAGGAGGATGGCCAGAATGCCCCTTAGAGGCAAGGATGACGAGACTTCACCTTATGTAATTTGGACATGTTGTAAAGAGATACCGTTTCTAGAGAAAGATAGCATGCTTGGTAAAGTCGAGGGGCAGCAGAAAGAGGAAGGGCCTCAACAAGATATGTTGGCACATTGGCTGCAACCAGGGGATCAGACACCAGAACAATTGTGAGGATGGTGAAGGGCTGGGCGGTGCTGTGTTCTCTTGTCTATCGGGTCACTACGAGTTGGAATCAACTTGATGGCACCTAACAACAACAGCAACATTTTAATGTGTTTATTTACCTATTCTATTATTAATGGGCATTTGAGGGAAATCATAAATAGTGCTGCTATACGGGTGCCTAAGCAAATGTGGCAAAGAAAGCTGATGGTGCCCGGCTATCAAAAGACATAGCGTCTGGGGTCTTAAAGGCTTGCAGGTAAATAAGCAGCCATCTAGCTGAGAAGCAACAAAGCCCACATGGAAGAAGCACACCAGTCTGTGTGATCACAAGGTGTCGAAGGCACCAGGTATCAGGCATCAAACAACAAAAAATCATATCATTGTGAATGAGGGGGAGTGCAGCTTGGGGACCCAAAGCCCATCTGTAGGCAACTGGACATCCCCTTTCAGAAGGGTCGCCGGGAGTAGATGAACCAGTCAGGATGAAGTGTAGCAACAATGAAACATACAACTTTCCTCTAGTTCTTAAATGCTTCCTCCCTGCCTCCCCCCACTTTCATGATCCCAATTCTACCTTACAAATCCGGCTAGACCAGAAGATATACACTGGTTCAGATAGAAACTGGAAAAACAGGGAATCTAGGACAGATAATCCCTTCAGGACCAGTGGTGAGAGTGGGGATATCGAGAGGGTGGAAGGTAGGGAGAAAGGGTGAACCGATTACAAGGATCTACATATAACCTCTTCCCTAAGGGATGGACAACAGAAAAGTGGGTGAAGGGAGATGGCGGACAGTGTAAGATATGACAAAATAATAATAAGTTATAAATTATCAAGGGTTCATGAGGGAGTCAGGAGCAGGGAGGGAGGGGAAAAATGAGGAGCTGATATCAGGGTTCAAGAAGAAAGCAAATGTTTTGAGAATGATGAGGGAAACAATTGTACAAATGTGCTTGACACAATGGATGTATGTATGGATTGTGATAAGAGTTGTATGAGCCCCAATAAAATGATTACAAAATAGTACTGGTGATAAGAGTTGTATGAGCCCCTAATAAAACGATTAAAAAAAGAGTACTGCTGTAAACATTTTAGTACAGTTATTTTGGTGAAATATAGTCACATTTTGGGGCTACCAATACTGGCAAATCATTTCCCCAGTTTTGTCAGTTTTACACACACCAGTGTATGGAAGTGTATGTTGCTATTGCATTGCATTAAAAAAAATTCCACTACTCACAGTGGCTATGGAGACTGGTTCAGTTTCCCCTATAGCCTTTTCTCACTTAGGTTTGTTCCTAACAGTCTTTTAGGCCATTCTCTGTCATTCCTTCCCAATGTACCATGTCCTGCTGCTGGCACCATTTCCTGCAGATAGCGGGGTGTATACACTATGTTCAGTGAGCACTTCGCACTGTAGACCAGTTCCAAGGTTTCCCGATAGCTCGAGTTTCAACATTTTCTAGATGCCTAAGTGAGGTTGAGGGCTGGAAGCCGATGCAGAGAGGCCCAAGGAGCTGAAGCATCCACATTGGATCTACAGACAGAACGGAACTTAACGAATTATACAGAATACTAGATGAAAATGAAGAGTCACAGGAGAGAAAACACAGAAGAATTACTCTCGATTCCTGAAGTGAAGGTCTCAAGGGGGGGGAACACCTTTGCCCTCCCAACGTCTCGATCCATCCATGAATCACCCCCAACGTCCCAACATTTCCCTGCATGTGGGCCCCGTTGGCACAGTATACTGTACATTTTGAATAGCAAAGAAAGGGAATGCATGCTTTTCTTGATCTCTCCCTCACTGCCATCAATCT